TACCCCACAGCTCACCTGCAACCCACTGCTCACCTGTACCCCACTGCTCACCTGCACCTCCCTGCTCACCTGCACCTCCCTGCTCACCTGCACCTCCCTGCTCACCTGCACCTCCCTGCTCACCTGTACCCCACTGCTCACCTGCACCCCACTCCTTGCTCACCTGCACTACGCTGCTGCCGGCAGCCATAGTGGCTCTCCTCCACACACGCCGCCGGGAGAGGACCTCACTGATCAGCTGGGCCAGCTTGCGCTCCATCTCAGCTTGGAAGACTTCGTTTTGAAGCTGCTTCTCAAAGACGCCCAGGAGGACTGTGTTCAGAGAGAGACACACAGACCCCAGTAGGCTAGCCAGTAGAGAGGAAGGCAAGGTGGTGTGTGTACATGTGGATGTGCTACATGTATATATGTCTGTGGCCATGTGTACAGGTGTGCATATGAATGAAAGTGTGCCCATGTGCAGTGTAGCACGTTAAAGTGTATTTTGTGCAGGTGCACATGTGTATGCATGCACATATGCATGTGTGTGAGCACATGGAAGAGTATGCACATGTGTGCATGCATATGTGTTTGTGTGTGCGTGTGAATATGTGTAACAGGAATTGCAGGAATTGTTCTGAAATGCTCGCCCTAGAGAGGAGCGAGTGCAGGGAAGGTGAGCATGAACAGGAAGCCATGCCCAGATCTTATCTGCAGCTCTGGATCTGAGTATCATGGAGACTAACGGCCAGAAGGGTCAGAAACTCAGCGCTGCAGACGCTTCAGAGCTACAAGTCCCGACCAAGACCAAATGCTCTGCCTGCCCATCTTCCAAAACACGGAAGGCGCTCAAGGTCCTGCCTGCTCCGAACTGAGAACCTGGACCCACAACCTGCTCGAGATCAAAGGGCCCAAAGGCAGTACCTGCTCTAAACGAGAGGGTCCACCCTGAGGCCCGTCAGCACCACATGGAAAAAGCAAGTGCTTTTCAGCCAGAACAAGTTTAAATCTCTTTGCGAGAGGGCCATGGGCTCAGCACTTTGCAGCTGGGAGAATTATCTGGAACTGAGGCCAACATACTTGTGGAGAATCTTCGGTGGGTGTTAGCAAGGAGCTGAGGCCCCACAACCACTCTGCATGCCTGTTCCCCACAATGGGCACTGCCCGTGTGCCCACCGGTCCAGGAGCAGGTGACCACTGCTCCACTTCTCCACGAGGCTGGAAAGGATACCCCACTCAGGCCACCTCGACAGAAAAGCTTGTGTGCTGGTCCTTCCAAAGCCAAGTGAATAGAAATTTTAGGAAATAAGGGATGCTTACATCTGAACATCACATTGTTCTGGGTCAGAAGACAGCCCAGCTCTGCCTGCAACCAGCACACGGGTTTTAAAGGAATGCTAGTCCTTTCATGTCAGAACCCAGCGGGCAGAGTCCCCCAACCCCCAGCTCCCCACCCCTTCCCGCCGTTCTCTGCCAAGAATTCGAGGGACACGTTGCCCTGGATTTAGATCTGGGAAGCAGCATCAGCTTTGATCTCAATTCCCCCCACAGACCGCTTATCCTTCTGGCTCCCACACGGGACATGAGTTGAGCATACCTGTTCTCACCCAGGAGGACTTCAAGAGCCGGGAAAGGTTGAGCTGTGGATACTGGAAAGCTGGGAAAAGGAAACAGGGCATGAGGGAAGGAGAATCTGTGAACACCATATTTGCAGCAGTCAGAAAGGCTCTTGCTCTGGGGACCAACTGAGTGAGTCGGAACACAGGCTCCCCACACAAACCCACAGCCATCAAGTCGATGCCGACTCACAGCAAGGACGTCAATTTAAAGACTAAGGTACGCCTGATCCAAACAATAATTTCCAGTGCTTCACATGCATGTGAAGGCTGGACAGTGAATCAGGCAGACTGAAGATCTGAATTGTAGTGCTGGAAAAGCGTATCCCTGGGATGGCCAGAAAGCAAACACGTCTGCCTTGGAGGCAATGCCACCCCCTTGGAGGCAAGGATGGTGAGACTTCATCTTACATGCTTTGGGCATGTTGTGAAGAGGAGCCAATCGCTGGAAAAAGACATTGTGGGGAAAGTGAGGGTCAGAGACAGAAAGCCCCTGAACAAGATGGACTAGTCCAGTGACTGTGACAATGGGTTCAACCATGGCAGAGAAGGTAAGGGTGACACAGGACAGGGCACGGCTCAGCTCCGTGTTCAGAGTCACCCTGAGTGGGAGCTGACCTGCCAGCACCCAACAACAAATAGCACAGCCACCCAACAGGCCAGAGCAGAACGGGCCCCTTGGGGTTCCCAGCTGTGAACCTTTATGGAAGAAGACTTCATCATCTTTCTCTTTAGAGCAGCTGGCAGATTTGGGGAGCAGCCCACCTCTTAATACACTGCACCTCAGGGCACCACTCTAGCACCATCGACACCTAAGGATGGGTGCAAGGACACAGGCTGGAAGCTGTTCTGAGACTTGAGGAGAAAGTAAATCCAAATGACTGTCATCAAGTCAATTTCAAGTTACAGTGACCTGGTGGCACAGAGGACAGCAGCTGCATGGGGTTCCCCAGGCTGCGAATCTACAGGAGAATCTTTCTCTCCCAGAGCGGCTGCTGGGTTCACACCACTGGCCTCTCAGTCAGCAGCTGAACACTGCAACCCCTGCAACACCAGGGTTCCTGTCAAGGAGAAAGGGGGTGGGGGAGATGGAGCCACCACTCTGCCTCACAGGCTCTCGGTTTCCCATCGAGATCAGCACCCCGTCCCTGCGAATGTCCTTGTTTTTCACCTCGTTCCTGATCACTCACCCTACGGTTCCCAGGGATGACCCAGGGCAAGGTGACCGCTGGCCCTGCTCACCTGGGATGGTCCTGGCCAATGCCTGCTGTGCCCTTGTCATGGTCACTGTGATTGGGATTGTCATTGTTTCGGCCACACATGTCCTGTGCCTAACTGAAGGCCGTCGTTAAAGCACGCCTCTATTCCTGTCTGTGTACCTTTGTTGCAAGTTATTCCTTATCCTCCAACAAGCACCACACAGCACCCATCAGCAATCACTAGGCCATCTGGTGCTTGATTTTGAAAAAAGAATTTGTGCTCTTTTTCCCTGCCTTCAACTCTGAAATCTGCTATTTTTCTCTTTCAGTGGCATCTGAGAACTGAATATCCCATGGACTGCCAAAAAGCAAACATATACGTCTTGAGGAAAGTGCAGCCAAAGTGCTTATTGGAGGGAGAGATGGTGAAACTCCGTCTCACAGCCGTTGGCTTGCTGCTGTTGTTGTTAAATGCTGTCTAGTCGAGTAGGACTCACAGCCATCCTGTGAACAACAGAATTAACCCTGTCCTGTCCTGAGCCATCCTCACAATCTCTGACATGATCAAGCCCATTGCTGCGGTCACTGTGTCAACCCCCTAGAAAAGGGACATCAGGCTTGAAATGATGGAGGGTCAAAGAGAGAAAGACCTCCAGTGACTGACATGGCGACTGCAGAAACGTGTCAGAGACGGTGGGGACGGCACAGGATAGGATCTGTTGTTCACAGGGTCGCCAAGTCACCCTCAACTGGACGGCACCCAATAACTACAGCCCCTGGGCAGACACAGAACTCCCCCCACTCTAAAGGGGCATAAGGTAGTGGCTTTCTGCACACTTGAAGGTGTGCAGTCATGCTCAGACCCATGCTTCACACCTCCACAAAACATCACTCACAGTGATCACTTTCACAGTACGCCAGCATCACTCTCCCTGCCCCCGACCCGAGGCCCAGCCCGGCCACAGGGGTCAGCTGTGATTCGTCCATCCAACACGCTGCTTATCAATGGAGTAAGACATACGTGGGCTTCTGCAACTGGTTTCTGTTAGTGTTTGCCCTGCTCATACGTGCTGGAGCACGGATCAGTGCTCCCTGCCTACTTAGGAACGAACGACTGGAACAGACCTTTTCCCATGTAAAAAAAGGTCCCTACGCCTGCTACTAGGAGCCCTGGTGTTGCCGTGGTTAAAGCATTAAGCTGATCAAAATGTGAACGGTTCGAATCCACCAGTGACTCTGTGAGAAAGATGACGCCGTCTGCTTCTTCAAGGATGGTGGACTTGAGGATTGCGGGCGTTCTGCTCTGTCCCGCAGTGTCCACTTCAGGATGGTGGATTTGAGAACGGGGGCGGGGGGGCGTTCTGCTCTGTTCTGCAGTGTTGCTGCAAGTTGGGGTGAACTGGACAGCAATGCACTTAGGTTTGGGTTCCCTGACAGTCGCACTGTGGATTTCATTGATTTAAACAGAAAGCAAAGATTTGTTTCCATTGATGATCTGCTTTATTTTCAGGTTTACACAGCAGAATCTACTCTTTCGGGCATGTACTTAGTTTTGTGGGCTCTGTCACCACCACATACTGGACACACAGGCTGTCCCATTGCTCCCCAAAGCTCCCTTCTGCTACGTGCTGTGGTTAAATGCTCCTCCCACCCTCATCCTTGCCACTGCACTTCCATTCTCCATCCTTAAAGGCTGCCTTTTCCAGATCTGGGGGAGGATTTTTCGAGAATCAGGTACTACGTTCCTCAGAATTGGAATACTAGTTTTCCAGAATTAGGGTACTGCCCCCAAGAACTGGGGTATTATTTCTTCCAGAAAGGAGCTATTATTTTTTCCAGAACAGGGGTCATATTTCTGCAAAACTGGGAAATTATTTATCCCCAGAACTGGGGTACCATTTTCATAGAATTAGAATGCTATTTTCTCAATATTGCTCCTTCAGTCTCAAAGAGAACCATCAAGGACCCTGGCTGAATCTACGGAGCTCTCTTCTACCTGACTCACACCCCGGGGTCCAGCCAGGTGTCCCACATGACAACAAGAGTCCCCAGTGAAGTCTGCCTGTGACCTGGCCCCAGGTCCCCTACTCCTGACCCCAGACACACAGGTCTCCTGGCCCACTAGTCACCAGCCCCGAACTCCTGCCCTCTGGCTCCTCCTTCTCCCTGATCACTGACCTCCTAGTCCTCTAGCCCCCTGACCTCCAGCCCCACCCTTGTTTACCACCCACCCCCATCCCTGGTCCCCGAGCCTAGACCTCCAAACCTCTGGTTTCAGCCCCCAGTGCCTACCAGCCCTTGGTTCCCACATCCCCAGCCCCTAGCCTCCAGACCTCCCAGGTTGCTGGTCCCTGCTCCCCAGACTCTGGGTCCCTGACCCCCAGCCCTCAGCCCCCATGTCTCCAGTCCCCACCCCACCCCCAGGTGCCAGTTTCTGCCCCCGGTCTTCTGACTCCCAGCCCCTAGCCTCCCCCCAGGTCCTTGACCTCTGCCCCTTGACCCCATAACCCCCACTCCCGGTACTCACGTTCGGCAATCTGCAGCACAGGATAGCCAAGGTAGAAGCTGAACTCCACCACACTGAGGTTCCGAAGAAGTTCGCTCACCTCCGAGCCGTTGAGATAGCCACTGGGGCTCCGGACAGCAAAGACAATGCTGACGGGGCCCCGCCGTGCTGGCTGGGAGGGGCCCCTGGTGACGTTCAGGACCTGCAGGGGGAGAGCCACAACCCCGCTGCCACCTTCCCCCTCAGGGTACCAGCCCTGGCTCTTCTCTATAAAGACAGGAAACTTTCAAAGTCTCCCCTTTACAAACTGTTTCATTGACTGGAAATGTCACATTAAGAGTTGAATGAAGCACATGCTTATATACCCCCCCACCATCTGTGAAATAACAATAAATTAGATAAAAGGAATAAACCCAGCAGTAATAAGATTGGAAGAAACTAGGTAGAAATGTAGCAGTCTGCTTCCGTAAGTATTCACAGCCTGAGAAATTCCATGGGGGCCTTTGTATTCTCTTTGTTGACTCAACAACAGTGGCTTCTTGGAGAAAGAGAGAGAGAATGTGTGTGTGTGTGTGTGTGTGTGTGTGTGTGTGTGTGTGTGTGTGTCGTGGGGGAACACAAAGGGCAATAATATCCTGGTTCTGCTCTGCACCTGGGGATACTCTCACCTGCACCGTGAGGTTCTGGGCACCCGGCGAGTGCCTCCTCACTTCTGAAAGCGCGACCATCAGGCCCTTCTCAATGCGCTGGGTGAAGTTGCAGAAGCCAGTGTCCACACTCTGCGGCACGAACTGGAGAACTGAAAGGAAGCACAGTCCGTGAGGCAGACGTTCCCTCCATTCCAGAAGGAAGGTGGCAAGAGACAGTATCCATGGCAAACTAACTCCCCCCCAGGAGCGGTGATACCCAGGTACCATGGCATTGACCCTGACCCATGGTGACCTTGTGGCTGTCAGAGCAGAGGTCTGCTGCAGCAGGTTTTAAATGGCTGTGACCTCTACCCTCATAGTAAATATCGGGTAACAATGAGTCAGACCAGCTTGACGGCAGTGGGCTCGGGCTGGTATGATCCATAGGAAGCGACCTCCAGACCTTTCTTCCAAGGTATCTCAAGGTGCACTTGAACTCCCAACTCTGCAGTTAGTGTTCAAGCACACTACCATTTGAGCCACTCAAAGACTCCATGCAATGTTAAGATGATTAAAATGTAAAACAAGCCAAAACCCTCAAAAGCAAGAAAAGTCCCTAAGATAACAATTTGAACATCCCAAGATGCAACCAGTGTAACACTGTAAATACACAGAAATGCATTCGCTCCTAGTGGTATTAAGGTCATTAGGGACTGGGGCCTGGAGAAATGCAGGAAGTCTTCAGTCTCTGAGGTGAAGAAAAGATTTGGAAATGGACAGAAGTGATGAAAGCATGGTATCACTAAACTATATTAAAATGGTTTAAATGGTAGCCTTTTAATGATACACATTTAACCACAATAAAACCTAAGAAAGAAGGGCTGCACTGCAATCTTGAAGCCTCACAGTCCAAATGCTCTGCTGGAGAAGGAGGGGCAATTTCCTCCTGTGCCAGTCAGATCTGACTTGATGGTACACAACAAGAAAAGAAAAAAAGAAGAGGGGAGCTCTGGTTGCCTAGTGGCAAGAAGCTGCAACTACAATCCCAGAGGTGCGCGGTTCGAATCCACCAGATGCTCTGCCGGGGAAGGAGGGGCAATCTCCTCCTGTACCAGTCAGATCTGATTTGACGGTACACGCACACAAAAATAATAAAATAAAATTTAAAAAAAAAGTAAAAAAAAAAAGAAAAAGAAAAAATAAGAGTTCACTAGTCATCACTAGAGATTGCTAAGACATGGATTACTAAAAAAGATTGAGATATAAAGAGAAAGAATCAGGCATTTATTCTGCCTTCCTCTGTGATAACCAAACAGCAGAACTCCAGGGCATCCTCTCTAAGAGTGACTAGTGGATTAGAACTTCCAACCTTTTTGGGGGAGCTCTGGTGGCCTAGTGGTAAGGAGCTGCAACTACAATCCCAGAGGCGCACGGTTCGAATCCACCAGATGCTCTGCCGGGGAAGGAGGGACAATCTCCTCCTGTACCAGTCAGATCTGATTTGACGGTACATGCACA